ATGTTTTTTTTTTTTTAGTATTTTATACTTAAGTGAATGTAGAAAATTAAATAGGTACCTACTACAAAAAAGTATTTTGAAAATACGTACAAATGCGAAATCAATTTTGTACCATGTTTTATATTTGAAATAACAAATCAAAAAAATATTTGCATTTTGTATTTAAACACTTTTAAAAAACCATTTTGCACATCTCTGGAACTTACTGGATATAATCTTTATACTGTGGCATGGGTTCATAAGTGGTAGATGACCAATAGCGTGAACCGGCCATATCTCCTCTTGTTTTGGAATAAGTACTATTATGTGTACCTAGTTATAGCTTGAACGATATGATATTTGTTTATAAGACACAATTGGCCTGGTATTTTTTTTACCTTATGCCGTTTTTTTAAGAATGGATAATTACAACGTGATGAGCACTAATAAAATAAATAAGAGAACAAGGAAAAGCACACTTCTATATAATACTGTTTTGACGCACTTGAATAAGAATGAGAATACCCTTCATCTTCATCCTGAAATTAAATGTTCTTCGTCTCTGAATATATTTCGGACCCGAGCCTGAATTTCTATCTTCAATTGTCAACCGTTTAATTGTGACTGTCTCCTATTGGCGTCTATTTCGTACCTTTTAAATGGTTTTTAAATGTTATTAATATTGCTTTTGCTTTCTTTCATTTCCTATGGCTTTTATAAGCTATGAGCAATATCCTTTTATATTATATTCATCCTGGCACATTTTTTTTTGTTCTGAATTTATATAATGGACTACAGTATTTTCTAATAAATAAATAAATTAAAGTCTTCGTTTTCCGGCAAATGACGTGAGAATTGAATTTTTTTGCTTCTTTCCAACCCTCAAAACTAAGGGAAATAATGCTTTCCGCACACAATATATCTATGTTGATATAAAATATATTCTATTATTCTTAATCTGCACGCGAAACTGTACAACATACCACCAAAAATAGGAGATGAGTATGATAATCGAGACACTTATTTAATTTTTAAAATCGCGCGTGTGGACTTTTAAGTTAGTGTTCAATGTATGTAATCAAAAATTAAACTTAATTTGTACGTTTTGCAATTTGATAAGCATTTGTAAAGTATTGGCGTTTTACAAAACGAGTAATTTTGCTATATATATATTTGAATCACAAAACAAACAAATTAGTAATATCTTCTTTTATATAAGAGAAGCCAAAAAGCAAAAGGTAAAGTAATCAATATAGTCTTAAAGCGGGCTCTCTGTTCAGTACTGACGATCAGAATATAAGTTATTCTTTATATTACATCATCATCATAAGGGTAAATAATATGTTCAGTGGATTTCATTTATTACGATCTTGGTTACAGCGACCATTTTGCTATAGCGACGTTAAATCCCTTGAATTTAAAGCATACTTTAGTACAAATTTCATGTGGCTATAGCGATTTCGAATGTAACGCCGAGTTCGAGTATAGCGACTGTTTTTAATGATTCATTTTTAACAAATTCTCAGTAATCGCATGCCCATATAGTGACCGAAGTCGGCCGCCAAAGACACAAAGAGCTTTCTTATCTTTTGTTACATCCACACAGATGGTTAGTAAGTGTGGTGACGTTTAATATTTAAAAAAAAAAAGGAAATAGTTTAAAAATTTAAAAATGGTGAAAACTATACATACGTGTTTGTATCTCTTTACCTTTGCCTGTAACGACTTTCGTCTACAGTGGTTTCTTCGTCGTCGTTATAGCAGAAATCCACTGTAGTTCAAAAAAATACCTAGATATTGGTTTGTCATGAGAAGTAATAGTTAATTTTTGTGATGTGACAAGCAAATCGTTATCTTCGCGCCAATATCTCAGTTGTTTTTAGTTAAAACAGCTTCATCTAAAGTAGCAATTCTTCTGCACCATTGTTTCAAATTATTAATAAGTTTAAATATACTCATACTTTTTGGTAAATTTTGGAAAACAATATAGCGGTGATATAAATAGTTGTAGCGTGAATGATGAGTTTTAATGTAAAATAGAGTATACACTTATTCTTTTTCACATGAAATCCTTTGTTTACCATTGAATTGTCAAATTGTAATTATAAACTATCTCACATTGTATTATTTACACTGCTACTTCACAATTAACTGAGGGTGAAGCAAAAAAAGTTCGGCATTTGATGATATTTATAGTTTAAGTTGAATATTGTTAGAGGTCACTATGAGTTATTTCCGTAAAAAATACTATCCCGTGGATAAACATATCGCATTTGCTGTGACAAAAGAAAAAAGTTAATGTTTCTGGAAAGACATTCGTGACAAATCTATTTCCAACTAAATAATAAATTAACATTGATTTTAAAGTCGTTGATCGTTCATATGCATGAATAAAAGGAATCAATGTTCTTTAATAGGAAATTTTGCGTTCACGTGCCTCGTGTATGAATTATTGTTTGTTTCTATCTCCTGTCTTGATTTTGTTAGTAAAATCTTTGCCCTAATTAAATTTCTTGCGTATACATTGTTATCTAAGTAAGCATGGTTATGTTATTTACGCAATGTTTTAAAGTAAAACGTTATATTTTGAGTTGGTTTTAGTGTTAAAACTAATATCTCTCACTTACCCCTCGACAGCAACGCCCATTGGCACATTTTACACGCAAGAACTTCAAACAAACAATCACGTTAACAATGCGTAGGAGTGAAAAACAGTCGCGACAAACACACACTGCTTATTAAAATAATGTTTGCTATCGGAGAAGAGTATTAATCTGTCACCGAAGTATCAGTGTGACCTTAGGTCACAGACTACTTGATCAGGGCCACTTCTCAATTCCGCTTTTTGTTATATACGTTCAGAATTTTGGTTGGTTTAATTTTAATTATCTAGTGAATACTTTGTTTTTTATTTATTACCGAATTATTTAATAATAAGTAGGCACTACAATTACATCTTCTCTTTTCGGTGTTTAAATCTTGAAGGAACTTATCAAAATGTGCATAATATTGTAGCTTAATTTTATTTACAGTATAGGATGAGTATTATAAATTGATGATTACCTTACTTAAATTAAATCTACTCGTAGCAATAATTTGTACATACCTGTAGCGTTGTATTCACTCGGAGAAGGGTCAAGGCAAAAGTTCTAGAAATCCCATATAATAATTGCTGTAAAATTTATTAACATAAAAATGTGTACGGGTTGTTTAGTTTATATTTGCCTTAAAAAAACTAAATGAATGTGGCAGAGCTATTGCTCTGTAAATTTGCTTGTTTGTGTTGTTACTATATGTGTTGGATTGATAATGTAATTTGCCAATTTTCTATTACAAAACATTAAACCCAATAAAAAAAGGTCTCGATCCAACGATATATGGCTGGATCTCGTAATACCTGTTTCTATCCAAATATATCCATTTCTTATCTAGTTATATAGGCCTAGATAGTCACGTTTGCCCAAATCCAACTTTAAGTCGTCAGTCCTACCAGTGGTTGGACACCCATCTCAACTCTTTTCTATACTAAACTAATATTCGCATTTTCCTAAAACTAGAACAACCCACATCCCTAAATATTTTCGAACAGTGATCTAATTTAGGCTTACCTCTACCCGTCTTAATTCTGCCTCTAATATGTCTCTGGCTAGACCTTCATGTCTGAGAAGGTGTCCTACGAACCTATCTCGCCTATTTCTGATTGACTTCTCCTCTGTTCTCCTATTCTTTCTAATATCTCTTCATTTCTTACCTTCTTTATCCCCGGTATCCTCATCATTCGCCTGTAACATCACATTTTGAACGCTTCCAAACATACACCATTAACAATCATATTCAAATTTCTGAATTAACCATTCGCAGACATAGAAGTGACTTCTTTTTATTGAAGTTGGCTCGACCCTGCGCTATCCTTTACGTATAGAAAAAGTGACGTATTAAACTTCTGTATCCAATAATATATACGCATGTCCAACCATAATATGTAGTCACATCTCCTCCGATCCAATCCTTACTAATATCATAAATGCGAACGTCTTAACTGCTCAACTGATCATCAAGAAATTTTGTACACACATTGTCGTGGGTGCAGAAAAGCACATAGGGTGCCTTTTAAAACTAGGATTAATTTCCCTGTATCTGATATAATAACAATGAATGAAAGACCATTTTATCAAAAAATTTTCTTAATAAATGTATTTTACCAAATTTTATGTACCTAACTAATAAAATCATAACGAATCCCAAAATATGTGAGTGAGGTTCTTTGACATCGGCCTGTCATTACTTGCTCAACAAAGTTAAGCAGTGAAAACTGAGAAGACCGGAGGATAATAATGATAGTAATTTTGTTTAAATCAAATAGATTATTCTCTATTTATATTTCAAATTGTATAAAATTATATTAAA